TTAAGACGAATGAAAAAAATTAAATTCCAAATAATTCTCATTCATAGTTCGAACGCAGAACGCCCCTTTTGGCGTATACGTTGTGACATCAATCATACGCCCAGGTGGTTGCAAGGGAAAAATGAATTTTGAGACTAGTACAAACCTCAAATATCTTAGTTTTAGTTTTTTTAAACCTTAATATGACAATAATAATATGACAATATTTTAATATGACAATAAAATTCCTTTCATGATTCGAACACATAAACCCCTTGGCGTATACGTGGTGAATATGAAATTTAATTTTAAGAATTACAATAAACTGCCCATCATCCCGCCCTTGAAAATTAAAAACCATAACTAATTCCACATTTTTACAATTAACGCTGTTTCCAATTTCAAAATGTTGTTTTTTTTTTTTGTACTTTAATTTAGATTAAATTTCAATAATTTATCGCTGCTTCAATTTACAAAATAATGCTGCTGTAAAAATATTCCCCTAGCATTTGGTGGTGAGCTTTGGGGTGAGTGACTGGTTGGCGGACTGACTGGTTGGTTGTCGTTTTCCTCTGCTTCTTCTTCGGCTTCCGAAACACACATAAAATAATTATAATAAAATTTCATAGCGTATTGAGATCTCCCGTAGGCAATTGGCATGACGTGAGGCCATCGTTAAAAAGAAATTTTAAATATTTCTTTGGTGCTGGCCGGGGGCGCAGTGAGGGAGTCCAGTTGTGGGGGGATGCTGATGCTGGTCGGTGGTGTTGGTTGGTGGATGGAAATACCAAAAGACAATGAATTTTCAATAACGTTGCCTATCCAAATGTTGAAATTTGAAGCTGTAAATAAAAATGTTCAATGATATCAGCTGTAATCAAGGATGGAAATATTTGTCACCGACAAACACAAATACTCACACAGACACACACACACACAGAGAGTGAGTGCCATTCCTACAATTTTTTTTGAATGGTGTGCAAACATCTAGGACATATGTACTGAAAAAACGGAATTTCTACCCACCAGGACATTGACATTTAATTGTGTGCGAGTTTTTTTTCGGGGTGCATGAAAAAAAAATCTTTTTGAATGGGGCTGTGAATTTTTGCCACTTTGATAATCAAAGTCAGGCATGTGGCGTTTTTGAACACATAATTGTGATTTATTTTTATCGAAATTGCAATTAACTTATTTCAATTTATACGATTTGTTGTAATTTTGAAAATTCCTTAGCGGGAGTATTGAAAATGTAACAATTTCAGGCATTTTTTATGGGGTGGCCACTATGGCGTATGCGTTGTGACAATAGTCATACGCAGGGGTGGTCATTTGAAGGGAACTCAGTAAAACAATATAAAATTAATATTTTTCGATTTATCTCAGACGTTGTTTGAACATTTTTTTAAGAATATAATCTTAAGAGATCCAAGAGTCCATAAATAAAGAAGTACTATGCACGAAGGATTCAAACAGTTCTTTGGAAAAGAGCCTTACAAATAAATACGATTATTTCAAAAAATTCAGTATCATAGTATTTAATTTTCCACTATTTATTGTGAAATTTTAAAATTCCGAAACAAAAATTTGAAAACATTCCGAAAATCAGTATTTTCCAAGAAATGAATACTGTGGCGTATACGTTGCGACAATAGTTATACGCAAGGGTGGTAAATTGAATGGAGTTCCGTAAAATAATATATAATTACAAATTTTCGATTTATCTCAGACGCTATTTGAACATTTTTTAAGGATATAACCTAAAGAGGTTCAAGAGTCCATAAATAAAAGAGAAATATACACGAAATATTGAAGCAGTTCTTTGGAAAAGAGCCTAACAAATAAATACGACTTTTTAAAAATTCTGTTTCATAGTATTTAATTTTCCACTACTTATTGTGAATTCCCTACAAAAAATATTGAAATCATTCCGAAAATCAGTATTTTCCAAAGAGTGGGCACTGTAGCGTATACGTCGTGACAATACTTATACGCAGGGGTGTCTACTTGAAGGGAATTCAATAAAACAATTAAGTTTTTTAAGCTATGTGAAATTTTTTGTTTGACATCATAACAAAAGAGCCTAGAATCCTTAAACAAAATAATAATTTGAAAAAGAGGTGCTTAACCAAATAAAAATGGTTTTTCTTTATTTTTTATAGTTTATCGTGAAATTGTCAAACTCCCTGCCAAAAATATAGAAATAATTCCGAAAATTTGTATTTTCCAAAGAATGGACACTTTAGCGTATACGTCATGACAATACTCATACGCAGGGGTGTCTCATTAAAGGGAATTTGTGAAAACATTTCAAAATTAAGATTTTGCTATTTATTTCAGAAGCTCAGAAAATATATTTCGAGGGCTTAATCCAAAGGTGAGTTAAAGTTTTTTTTAAATCAAATATATTCTTGAAAATATCCTTGCAAATATTTATTTAAAACTTATCCATTTTTTGTCCATTGTAAAACGGAAAAATTCCTTACCAAAAATATTGAAATAATTAAAAAATGAACACTCTGACGTATACTTTGTGACAATAATCATACGCAGGTGTTTCCTATTACCGAGAACTTGTGAGAACAATTCAAGATTATTTTTTTTGAGTTATTTCAAAAGCTGAGTAAATATTTGTTCGCGGTCATACACTTAAGAAGTCCTACGCCAAATTGCTAATATAATTCAGAATGACTTTTTTTTTGGTACATCCCACCGATTTCAGTCTAGAAAAAAGTAAACCAAAATGAACCAGATATAGCGTTGTGACAATAATCATAAGCATGTACCCTCAGACATATGGCTAGAGAGGCTTTATATCATAAGATACGGCCAAAACGTTCCTCATCGAAATAATGGTTTTAGACCGTAGGTCCCTTTGGACCAAATCCGTTACAGGACATTTGAAGTTGATCTAGCGATGTCCGTCCGTCTGTCCGTCTGTCTGGGTGGTGCGCAAACTTGGTACCTCGTTATATTATTATCAACCTTACATCGAGTTTGGAGATGAGGAATATCCTTTGTGAACCTTTTAGTATCTCCCCCACAAAAGGTGAAAATTTCCAAAGAAAATTATTTACGCACAGAATGCGAAAGCATAATCCGATTTTGCTCTAACTTTGCATATCCTAATATTTGCATCAGAGCTATATGAGGTGCGAAAATTGACAATATCGGTCTACTCCATCAAGTACCTCGCCCACAAAGGGTCAAAATTTGGAATAATTATAGCACTTATAAAATGTGATGTAAGAGTCCGATTATCTTCAAATTACACACATCTCAATATTTTTCTTAACCCAAAGTCTGGTACAAAGATGGAATATATCGGTTCACTCCTTCTGGTAACTCCCCCACAAAGGGTCCAAATTTTGAATATTCATAAAGCTCATAAAACGGGAAATTAACATCCGATTCCATTGAGACTTGGCGCATATCAATATTCAATATTCCTATCAGCACAAGATCTGTTAGCTCCCCCACAAAGGATCAAAATTTTTTATAATCAAAACGATCATAAAATCCGAAGTAATCATCCGGTTATCTGCATATTTCACTCATCCCATTATCTCTATTAACACAAGATCTGCTGTAAAGATGGGTTATATCGGTCCAGTCCTCCCCCATAGAGAGTCAAAATTTTGAATATCCATGAAGCTCGTAAATCGCGAAATTAACATCTGAATCTATTCAGACTTTGTACATCTCAATATTTGCATCAACACAAGACCTCTTGTAAATATGGTAGAGATTGGACCATTTCTTCTGGTACCTCCCCCACATAAGATTAAGATTTTGAAAAACAAAACACTCAAAGAAAACAAAATAAGCATCCAACTCTCTTCAAATTTCACACACACAAACATGTTTGCACAAAATCTGTTGTGAAGATGATAAATAACTGCGAAGCCCTTCTGGCACCTCACCAACAAAGTGTTAAAATTTTCAATACCTGCATCTGAGGGTTCTAGTGTTTTTTAAGTTTTTTTTTTCCAATTTTCAAAATTACTTTTTTTTAATCTATCAGTATTGAAATCCATCTTTCGCTTTTTGGAAAATACCCATTTTAGCCATTGCGATGTCTGATAAAATAGGGTTTCATTCTTATATAACTATCAAGTCTATTCTTGAAGCAATTCCTCAAATATTTTCATAGCTTTTGTGTCAGTGTTTTCAATATTGACAATTATTTGACGTTTTGACATCTCAGTGTTAGAATTCAATACTTTAATTGATACAGTATATTTTCTGTGCTTCCACTTCCACACTTCATTTAGGTGAACTATGGCGTATACATTACGACAACACTTATACGCACCTATGACCCCACAATGTTTACAAAGATTAATAGCTGTTAACATTCATTTGAAAGGTCTCGTTATCAGTATAATATTTATTTATTTTCGTTAACCCATTAACCCCTCTCCCTTTTCCTCCTCTTATTATCAATTCTTCTCCCCTCTTCCCCCCTTTCTGCTGTAATATATCGTTTAATTGATTAACTCTGTTTTTTCCCGATTTCAATCTCTCGCGGTCCATTGTCTCGTCAATTGCAATTGTCGATGGCTGTCCAGAAGTGTCAATTTAATTTATTGAAATGTTGATGTTGAACCAGGCGATACGATAATGTTGTCCATTGTCCATTGTTGTGGAAAAACATGGCCAAACAAACGCGCACTTAAATAAATTCCAACATTAACACTTTTTTCAATAATTGTTGACACATTTGCAATCGTTGAGAGAGACCGGTGTGTGTGTGTGTTTGTGTTGACTTTACACTTACACATGTAATGTAAATTGCCCCCCCGGGGGATGGCATGCAATAAAAATTACATGGAGACATTATGTTTAATTATGGTTTACAGTGGTTTGAAATTCGAGACAAATATTGAAATTGATATAATATATGGATAATTTTTGGTTATTGGATAAGGTTCATAGGGCAAATGTTGTCAGTACCTCAATTCGAGTTTGTGTCTCAGGTGAAATTGGTAAGTTATATTTAAGGAATAAAACAGAAGGAATAAAAAAGGATTGTCTTCGACAGGACCTAACTTTTAAGGCCCTCTTGGACATATTTTATTAGAATATTATTTTTACAATATTTTAGACGTTTTGTTCCCATATCCTTCCCTTGACTTTGAAATCATTTTTTTTTGTGCCGTCGTGCCACTGTGCATCAATAATAATTAATAAACATTAAAAACACGTTATTTTTACATTTATCGTCATACTTACACATACTTACACGCACACCATCACACACAAACATATATTTACAATTTATTTGACGTAGACAAGGATGTTTTTTTTTCGATTTTCTGCTGACGTTAATATTTCTGCCTAGAAAGGGACGGGAACAGTCGCTGACACCTACAGCTGTCTTTAAAAGAGACAAGGCGATAAATTTTAATCCGATGACTGGATGTAGGCCCTTGTTGAGAACATTTGTTTTAATATTGAATTAATTTGTGTTGAGAACATTTTGGCAAATGGGGGTTTATAAAAGTGGGTAGCCAGACTTCAAAAAAAAAAAAAAAAAATAATAATAATAATACTTATAATAAATAAAAATAAATAAATAAATAAATAATAATAATAATAGGAATAATAATAATAATAATAATAATAATAATAATAATAATAATAATAATAATAATAATAATAATAATAATAATAATAATAATAATAATAATAATAATAATAATAATAATAATAATAATAATAATAATAATAATAATCTCTTCTTCTTCCAAAAATTCCATAAAATTTTGATCGATCCGTGTTGAGAGAATAACATTCTCTTTAAACACTTCTTACTGATTGACTGAAAACAGATCTCTCTTTCCATGCAATAGAGCCTGAAGTGTTTAAGATTTTTTTCTGTCAAAATCACTTCGAATATATTTCCCCCATTCATTTGTTACTTAACCCACTTGGCTATGGAACAACCGGTTGTTCTTTTCAACATCCTACGGCAGTTTGTCTTGAAAGAGAAACACACAATCTAGGCTATCAGTGTTCAACATGTTGGCATACATTAATGCATATCCTCTTCAGAGTATTAATGTTTGAATGGATATGTGCGTCAATACACACACATACATTCACTCACAAAACATCTGCATCTGCCTGCATGTGGAAAGGCATATCAATCATTGTTTGCTGAAATTAACAATTATGCCTAATTAAGAGCTTTCTCTCTCTCGTTCTCTTAGCCCCTTACTCCCTCTCTTTCATCTCATAACGTAATTGAAGCATATAAGTGTCAGAAATTTGTTGCAAAAAGGATCTTTATTACATTATGTATATGAGAGGAGAACATGATATGGATTGACAATGATATCGTTAGGAGAGATATTTTTTTTTTCAAAATTAACAGAATTTTATTAAATTGTAGTGATTGACTTAAATTGATGAGAACGTGGATAATTTATTCTGAGCTAGAAACCTGGGGGGTGGACAATAGGATTTAAGGTATTAGGACATCGAAAAAGGTTCACGAATAAAAATGTCCTCGGCAATACTTTTGCCGACAGATGGGTATTTAACAAGGAAATTCTACAGCGTCGGAACCATATACAGGGTGAGATAAAAAACTGCAACAAAGTCAAATGCCGTCATTTTTAATTTTTTTTTTTACATTTTATTGAATGAAAGCAAAAAATATCGGAAATAGTATAAAATTTTAGAATGGCACGAATTATGGCATTCAAACGGCCAATGAATCCGTCACACGCTGCCCGAAAGTTTCTCTGCGGTATTTTGGCCCATTCCCGGCGAAGCGCTTGCTTGAGGTGATCGACACTTTGGTATTTCCTAGTGCCAACTTTGCTTTCCAAAATACTCCAGAACCAATAGTCCAACGGATTGGTATCCGGAGATTTTTGTGGAAATTGTGTGCTGGAAATGAAGCGAGGAACCTCATTTTGTAACCATTCTTGGGTGGCGCGTGCTAAGAGCGATGATGCTGAGTCCTGTTGGATGGTGCTGAGTTCAAGGTCTGCGGCAAAATGTTTGGGTATCCAAGGCTTTAATACGCCCTCCAGAATATTTTCGCGATAACATTCGGCATTTATTCTGATGCCATGGTCAATTAATACAAGCGGAGAGTGACCAATGACTGTTATGGCGGTCCACACCCATACCGTCGCCATGGCCTGCGCTTGAGTTCTGGTGACCAACCGCCAACATTTTGAACATTTTCAGCTGATCTCTTTGGCAAGTAAACACGAGCGGATTATTTTGTTTGTTTACAAACTGGACAACTGCTGGACAACGAATGTTTTCTCATCGGAGAAAACCAAGTTCGGCAGTTCACCACATTCGGTCAAGCGAAGCAACTCTTTAGCTCTTTTGAGTCTATTTTCTTTCTGTTGCGGTGTAAGTTTTGGCACATTTTAGAATTTCAATGGATTTACCCCGAGCTCATTTTTTAATATTTGCCGAATGGAATATTGCGATATGTTCAGCTCACGAGCCAATTTTCGGCCACTGCGACGCGGGTCTCGATCAAGTCGCTTCATATTTTTCGAACCATTTCTGCTGATGTTGCTGTTTTCCTCCGTCCACTTCCTTGACGTCGGGCTACGCTGCCAAGATCACGGTAACGAGCGACGGTACGAGCCACAAAAATTTATTCTCATTTAAATGCTGGAGTGCCCTAACGATAGCCACTTGTGGTTGGTTTTCCAGCCAAATATAAAGAAATCACACCATCACGCTTGAATACCATCACGAATAATTTTTTTCCCGGAAAATTCTCACCAAAATGCTTTTGTACGCTTGTAAACAATATTATGAGATGTCACTGGAATAGATTTAACAGCTGTCGGACGAAAGGCTTAGAAATGACAGCAGTCTGAATTTGGTTGCAGTTTTTTTATCTCACCCTGTATAACACAGAAATTTTACAGCGTCGGAACAATATATTTTAAAACTTATTTTAATTTTTTAAAACACTAATGTTGTCCAAAATGTGTAATTAAAGCTAATTTTTCATGAAGTGAATGAATAATACATAGACATTGATTGGTGGGTTGTTTAAAAAAAAAACGAAGATAAATTCGCCGCTAGAGCGCCTTCTTCCTCAGCTTTGTTTTACATACAATATATTTCCTCTGCGGCATATAACCGGCATTTTGTTTTATATTTTTCTTCTAATCATCTTCGGTTCCCTCTCTGTTTTTCCTGTAATCTCTCGCATAACCCGCACATACCAAAAGCCAGATGCGATTAATCAATCAATAACAAAAGAAAACAATTAAATTTTCTTGTAATTGCCATTGTGTGGATCTTTCGGTGTAATGATTTATGTTTACATTCCTACTCATCTCTCTCTTTACAGCTCTCTCTCCCTTTCTCCACTACCTCAGTGAGCTGAGGTGTTGAATCATTCACCCCAACAACAAAGAGAAGGAAATACATTAAATCTCTTACCATATAAACGAGCCACCATTTCGCAAGGAATGTATGCATGTATGTGTGTTTGTTTGTGTATTTATTGTTGCATAGCAACATGTCTACATTTGCTTTACAAGTGTTAATTTGTGTGTTGAATGTTGGTGCGTCAAGGTGCGGGATCAGTAGCAGAGAAATCACAGGGAATGGAATGGAATGTAATGTATATGTGTGTGTGTGTTATATTTTGATTTCATTCTCATAACATATGCCCTTTTTTTGTTGCTGTTGTTCTTGGTAAGTGGGGAAAACAGACAGACAGAGTTGAGATGATACGCATTACTACTCTTATTGCGAACAGATTTAAAGATGATACTCCAATGGGTGGTGGGAGAGTGAGAGGAATTGAAAAGGCTTTTTGTTGGAGAATAATAGTAAAGGGGAACGAATTTATTTGATAGTAGCATAGACAAATTAGGTATAGACTAAAAAGATGTCTCATCTGTTATCTTCGAAAAAAGTGCTTCAATAGATGTCGTTCATGCTGTGAGAGAGGTTCAGTAGACTCACTCAATTCTCTCAAACTACAAAATATTGAATATTTTTATGACTCTTTATTATTTATCAATTAAAAACGAAATAGTAACTTTGTTTACTTTTACATTATCCAAATATGTCGTGAAATATAAAAATATAGAATTTAAATAGCAGAAAAGTGAATAAATTGTTTTCGAAGTCGAGTGACTTCACTAGCCCTGAGTGACTTGACTGGCCCAAGATCAACAATAGTGACATCTGCCGGAAGGGAAAATTTTAAAACTTTTTAGTCTATACCTTCATTTGTCTATGATAGTAGCTTTTTAAAGGGGAATGACTGTTTTCTTTGGAGAAGTGACATTTTAATGTTAGGTTGAGTAAAGAAGAGATTTTTAAGAGAAAACTAATAATTAGGGCTTTAATGCTTAATTTTAGATTTTTTAATATAATAATACAGTCTAATATTGTCATTGAAACTACCAATTAATATAAACAAACGCAAAACCAGATAGACATTTTCATTTTGGTCCTACATATCCCATTTTTATCCTAGATATAAAGTAAATATTCTTTTGGCAATTTTCGAACTTTGAGGAGATTTGGGGGAGGTATTTCGCATTTTATGAGATTTATGATAGTAAAATATTTTGCTTCTTTGTGGGGGAGATATCAGAAGAAGTGGACCGACACATCTTCATGGGAGATTAAATGCTGTTTAAGTTTGAAGAAAATCAGAAAATGATTTCACATTTTTGGTCAGTAATATTTTTATCTCCTCAGCCACATGGCTAAAGAGGGTATATATCATTTGATACGGCCAAAGCGTGCCTCATCGAAATTACGGTTTTGGACCCCAGGTCTCTTTCGACCAAATCGGTTTCAGAACATTTGGAGTCGATCTAGCGATGTCCGTCCGTGCATATGTCTGTCTGTCTGACCGAAAGGGAGTATCCGATCTGATCCAAACTTAGTGCATCGTAATATTATTGTCAAACTTTTGGTACCTCCCACACAAATTGTCAAAGAAAATAATTTACTGCACAGAAAGAGAAAGGATAATCCGATTTTGCTCCAACTTTGCACTTCCCAATATTTGCATCAGTGCTAGCCCAGGAGCGAAAATGGAGTGGACCGATACACTCCTTCAAGTACTTACCCCACAAAAGCTCATAATTTGGAATATTTTTTAATTCTTATAAAATATGATATAATAGTCCGATTATCTTCAAATTACACGCATCAGAATATTTTTATTAACCTATGGTCTGGTGTGAAAATGGAATATATGGACCCCCTCCTTCTGGTACATACACCACAAGGGGTCAAAATTTTGAATATTCATGAAGCTCATTAAGCGCGAAATTAACATCCGATTTCATTCAGACTTAGTACATCTCAATATCTCCACCAACACAAGATCTGTTATAAAAATGGTAAGGATCGGACCTTTTCTTCTGGTACCTCCCCCACAAACGGTCAAAATTTTGAACAACCAAAACTATCATAAAATCGGAAATAAGCATCCGGTTCTCTTTAAATTACACACATCACAATATATTTATTAACCCAAGGTCTGGTGCGAAGATGGGATATATCGGTTTACTCTTTAAAGTACCTCTCCCCAAAAGGGTCAACATTTGGAATATCCATGAAACTCATAAAATGTGATGGTAACATCCGATTCCATTCAGACTTTCCATCAACCCAAGATCTGTTAAAAAAGATGGTAGAGATCGGACCATTTCTTCTGGTAGGGTTTAAGATTGTCAAAAAAACCAAAACGCTTAAGAAAGCGAAATAAGCATTCAGTTGATGATTTAGAGAAGTTACGAAGAATTTGGTTGGTGGTCGTCTCTAGTTCTCGAGCAGTCCTGATTAAAGAATTATGTTTGTCAGAAAATTGCGATAACATAAAAGTTAAAAAGATTTTATTAACTACATTTAAGGTTTTTCAATTGGTTCCATATTCACAATTTTGGCACCATTATAAAATTTTATTCTGGAACAAACATGCTGATTTTTTGATACAGTAAATGATTATTATTAAACTATAAAAATAATTTTTTGGAAATTTCCGAAAATTCAGCAACTTTGCCATGAAAATCTCGAAAGCCAGGGGAGATATCGGAAAATAGACTAAAATTTCTGAAAGAGCATACCCGAAAACCTTAGAAATGATATACATATCAATATGTCCATAATATGGGAGAATATCTGAATTTAATACAGGTTGATCATAATCTGGCTCACAGTGACTATACAATTCTCTCCCAGATTCACACATAAATAAACACACGAGGAAATAACTGTACGAGTATGGCTCTCTTCCTCCCGCTGACTTAATAGCAATGCAGATGCATAGAAGGTGTTTTATTAGCCTAATTGTTATTTTACGAAGAAGCCAGTCGACGACTTAAGCCAGCCAAAAAAGAGGTTTTATGCATTCTCACCTTAAAGGCATTCGGTGGGGAATATGTGTATTTAATACAGCTAAAGGCAAGAGATCGCACGTTTGCTCCCAGTGTCTTTAATTCTCTTAGATTAAACCGTTGATAAACCATTGACTCACAAATTAACAAATACACGTGAAGAAATAAGAGAACGACTCTCTTCCTCTCGTTGATTTAATAACATCCATTGAGACCAAAACACATGCTGTGAGTTATTTTCTCTTTCTCTTTTTTCAATTCATTTTTTCTCTTTAAATTTATTTGTTTTTTTTTTTGTATTATCCTGTTTAAATTTACACATTAAATATGAGATACAAGACAAATATTTAAAATATTACAGAAATATCTTTAAGATTTGTGTAGTTTTTTCTTTATTATTACTTCTCCTTCTTCATCCGCTTCATCTTTATTACACTTAACATAATTTTCCTGCTTATAAATGTATATAATTGTGTATGTCTGGGGGGTGGAGTGTAAACATTGAAAATACTTTTAATTTATCTTTACAACAAAAAGAAAAAACAGGGAAATAATGGTACAACTTTTTACAACAAAGTCTTCGAGATAAGTTTTCGAATAAAAAAAAAAAAAACAAATACAGGAAATATGACACCAAGGTGGGTTGAAGGGAGGGAGGAAGGGAGGCAACATAAAAATCACTGTCATCACCAAGAGTGTCATTATTTACACATACATACATACATACATACATACAACAGTCTGGTCAGGATAAAAAAGGCAAGCTCCACCTTTTTTCCCTTTCCCTTCCCTTACTTCATATTTTCATATTTTGTTTTTTTTTTATTTTTTCCTTCTTCTCTCTCTCTTTTTTTTTTTTGATACTGTACAATTATCTAGAATTAGAATACTTGAAGTTACTTTCTCTTCATTTTCCACTAATAACAGAAAGATATACAACAACAAATAAAAACAAATATAAATACAAATACAAATACTTAAATATGTAATACTGTTGGTTATCATGTTACGGGGATAATCCAGGTCCCCCGGGAATGTTCCCAAAAAAAAATATTTTCTGTTTTTCTTTGGTTTTTGATATAAAAATGGAATTTTGATGGACACCATGGAGCATGGGCTCTCATCAACTCAGAGTTCATTTATTTTTATTTTATTTTGCAAATTCAATTCTGCTTCGTTTTGTTTAGTTCTCTCTGTACAATAATAATAATAACAAAGACCACACAACACTTAGTGTTCATTTTAGGTTCTCTTTTTTTTTGCCTTCTTCCTTTCCAATTTGGCCTTAATGACGTTGTGTGTTGTTTTTGTTGTTGGACACAAAGGACAAAATTTGACAAAAATAGTTGTTGGTTGTTGTTTTTGTAACAGTTTAGAGTTCGGTATCGGTCTGTAGGACCACAGTCATGGTGCCTCACCTTTTGTCACCGCTCAGTATCACCCCACTCTGGACCAAAGCAGTTGGTGGTGTGGCCGACAATCGTGCCTCGGCATTGTTGTGTTGTTGCTGCTGCTGCTGCTGCTGCTGATGGTGATGATGCATCGATGCCTGCCTCCGATAGCTGTTGCTGGCCAACCGTCCCCCATGCTGGCCATTGGAGCCATTCACCGCACACGAATTGGTATTATTCAAATGTACCGAGGCCCGATTGTAGTTGTTGGTGGAACGCATCGACATATTCACAATGCTGGTGTCCATCATCCCAGTGGCGGTGGAATGCTGACGTATGCGTGTCTGTCGCTTGACACACCAACAGCACAGGTATTGATTGAAATGGGCCCGAAATGCTCCAGATACGCAGTACAATGCCACCGGATTGACACAGGAATTGAGGAAGCTAGAGATGGATGGATGGTGTGAATAATGGTAATGAGCGAGAAGAGAAGGAAAAAAAAAAACAAAGAGAAGAGAAAAAATTGTTGGAATTAAACATGAACAGGTAGCAAGTCAAACAAAGCATTAATAATCATGCAACACTGGATTACAGAAAAAGAGAGGGGGGCAATTACACTGTGCGACAATATTTTATTTAAAAACCAGTAAAGAAAGTCTTAAAGTCGGGCGGGACCGACTTTATGATACCCTACACCACTTTGCTAATTTAGTAGAGCTCCACATAACAATTAAATGTTTTTATGGGAGAATTCAATCATACAAGCTATGATTATAATTATAATTTAAAGTTCAAGGGACTAAATATGCCGAAGCATTTGTATCTTTTAAATTCGGACTTGTGTTGTCTATTTGGTGCACAAATAATTTAAAATCGAATAAAAATATATATGGGAGCTATATCCAAATCTGAACCGATCTCGATAAAATTTGGCAAAGATATATTATATTGTATTTGATATATTTTCCTGAATATCGTTGTTACGGAGTGCATATTACGGCTGTGGGTAACAAATATAACAAATCGGACGAAGTTATATATACGAGCTATAGCTATATCTGAACTGATTTCGATCAAATTTGACATACTAGCTTCTAGACTCAATTCGATCGTATGTGCCAAATTCTATCCCATTTGGGCAAATATTAGACGTTTGGTGCACAATAAAAGGTAAATCGGACGAAGTTATATATGGGAGCTATATCCAAATCTGAACCGATCTCGATAAAATTTAGCAAAGGTATTTCTGAGCTGTATTTGATATATTTCCCCAAATATTGTTGTTACAGAGTGCATATTATGGCTGCGGAGGACAAAAATAACAAATCGGATGAACAATATATATGGGAGCTATACCTATATCTGAACCGATTTCGATACAATTTGGCATACTTATTTTCAGGCCTAATTTGGTTGTATGTGCAAAATTCCATACAATTCGAGCTGATATTACACGTTTGGTGCACAATAAAAGGCAAATCGGACGAAAGGTATATATATGGGAGCTATATCTAAATTTTGAACGATTATCTCCAATTTCAGTAGGGTTCGTCCTTGGGCCAAACAAATGATTTGTGCAAGATTTCATCTGGATCAGGTAATAAATGCGACCTGTACATTGTTTACAAAAGTACATGGACAGACGGACGGACGGATATGCATAAATCGACTCAGAATGTGATTCTATGCAGATCATCAAAAGGAACTATGGGTCTATCTCGTTTCCTTTTGCCTGTTACAAACAAATGCACAAAGACATAATACCCTGTCCACCTTGTGGTGTAGGGTATAAAAAACGAGAAAGTCCAGCAAATTATGAAAGTAGAGTTAAAAAATACTCGTGTAGCAGTATTTTGAAAGTTTACATTCTTTCGGAATTTTTTAAATTTTTTTTGGATTACATTTTCTTTGGAATCCTTACATTCTAGGTTTATACTGTCCTGTGCAATATTGTAGATAAAAATGCGAGGAATATTTCGGTCAATAATTTTAAACCTCAATAAACCCTTAAATATGATTAAAAACTCCCATTAAACAGTAAAAATTGTTCTACAAAATTATTTGCCATAAAATTCTACTATAGATCCTGGAAGACAAAAAAATGCATAAATCTTACCTACAGGGTGAGATAAGAAACTGCCACAAAGTCTAAAGCCATAATTTTTTTTTTTTTTTTAATTTATTAATTGAAAGCAAAAATGTCGGGATAATATTCGGCATTTATTCTGATGCCGCGGTCGATTAATACGAGCGGAGAGCTACCATCGGCTGTTATGGCGACCCACACCATCACCATCTCCATGGCCGGCGCTTGAGTTCTGGTGGTCAACCGAAGGTGCATATTTTCAGCTGACCTCTTTTCCAAGTAAACGAGCGAACCATTTTGTTTGTTTACAAACCGCTGCTGGACAACGAATGTTTTCTCACCGGAGAAAACCAAATTCGGCAGTTCACCACTTTCGCTCTAGCGAAGCAATTCTTTAGCTCTTTTGAGTCTTGCACTTTTTGGAGTTTCAATGGCTCGACCCCGAGCTCACTTTCAATATTTGCCGAATGGAATATTGCGATATATTTAGCTCACGAGCCATTTTTCGGCCACTGCGACGCGGGTTTTCGATCAAGTCGCTTCTTTACTTTTCGAACCATTTCTGCTGATGTCGGATATGTTTTCTTCCATCCACTTCCATGACGTCGGGCTACCCTACCAGTATCGGTAACGGTAACGAGCAAGGGTACGAGACACAAAAGATTTATTCACATCTAAATGCTGAAGTGCTCTAACGATAGCCACTTCTTGTTGGTTTTCCAGCCAAATATAAAGAAATCACCCTATCCCGCTTGATTTCCTCCATCGCGAATAACTTCTTTTCTGGAAAATTCTCACCAGAATGCTTTTGTACGCTTGTAAACAATATAATGAGCTATCACTGGAATGATTTCAATAGCTGTCGGACGAATGGCTGACAAATGATAACATTTTGAAGTTGTTTGCAGTTTTTTCATCTCACCCTGTATGCATTCCTGGCGTTTAGGTAAGATTTAGACTTTTGAGGCCTTCTGAGACCTATGGTGGAATTTTATGACAAATCATTTTGTGGATCCCGTTTAAAGGGAGTTTTGAACAATAATTTCAAAAAGGTACCAAAAAGACCCCTTTTTTGAATCGCTTGAGGATTAAAATGCTTTAAAGAAATATTCTTTGTATTCTTATCTACAATAGTGCTTAAGACACTATATACCTAAAATCAACAGATTCTAGGGAATCTTAAACCCTAATTTAAAAGAAAAAAACGTGTGGAATAAGGGTGAACCCACCTCCCACCCTTTAGGTTACGCCCTTTAGATTACTTTGAAAAACGCATGTCAAAGTCATTTTTTAGTTCTGGTTTCATAATCTGCCGTATTTTCCACGTGATAATTTTTTGGGTTGTCCAGTGTTATTGGACCTAATGTTACGGGGGTAAACCCAATTCGATATTGGCCTAGCTCAAATTGGAAAATTTTTTATTTTTTTGGAATTTTTTTTTTTTTATTAATACCTAATTTTCGTAGGAATATACATTTAAAAATAAAATTTAAAAATTGTCTTCCTGGGTTGATTTTTTAATTGAAAAATAGGAAATAAATTTATATTTTATTTTTTTTTTCAAAATAATTGATTTTTTAGAAGCTTGAAATTGTATATCTGTAGCCCAGTGTTCATTTATATTTCCCTTACAAAGCTAATCATTTGTTTCCGAAAATGTGTTGTGTATTTTCTTTCACCAAACAACACCCTACTACCCCCACCCCCTTCGCCAGCCATCCGGCCAGCTCAGCCTCCCGATTAGACAGTCCATTCAAGGTGAGTTGTTGGCCAATGAATGTTGTGAATGACGGCGATTGAAAGACATGGCATGTCCATGGATGATAACAAGGCTTCCTGCAATGATGGCCTAAATTTACGTTAATTTGGTGGCCTGTGATTTGGAAGGTAGACCTCCATGGTTCGGCAGCATCATTCAATGTGATGCCATTCGTTTACGTTACGTTTGAATGATTTAATAATACTTAATTAACAAAACAATGCTGGGCTACAAAAACATAACACAAAACAACAACTACAACAATAATAACAACAACAATATGTCCAATACTTACTACGTGCAGAAGCCAATAATCCGAATGGTATGCCAGAAATCATCGAAATCCTCTCGGCTGGTTGGATTCAAGTGGAACCATAATTCAAACAAATGATAGGGAAAGAAACAAATAAAAAACACTGCAAAGATATAAGAGAGAGAGGGAGAGTGAGAGAGGGGAGAGAGAAAAGAGGAGACAAGTTAAGATAAGAAATGTTGCTGTTAAATGTTTTTTGTATTTTTCACTTGAAGAGATAAACTAAGGCTAGACATCAATAACTATCACCGTCAATTCAGGGGGTATCATCAGCAGCAGCCATGGCCATAAAATGGTTAGATGGATGGACGGATGGCTGGATGGATAGCTGAGATATGTCAAGACATCAAATGATGCTGATGGTCTCAAATGCTGTCATTGACATGGTGGTAACACTTAATGTCAAAAATTTGTGGTTTTCCTTTTTGGTCACAGTGGTTGATGTCTTGACTGTCAGTCACAAACAGCAATCGTCGCCATCATCGTCATCATCATTAACCACCATCATCACCGTTTATCGTCTGTGCGGGAGCAAACCATATTCCATATCAACTTCATCTTTTTCACTTACCCACCACAAATACCACTACCATGCGGGCCACATAACGTCGTGCCCGAACCTGGGAACGACTTTGCATGCTCAAGGTTTCGCCGGGCATTTCACGGGCACTGACATGCAAACGCTGTGCCATCATCAGATACAGAACTCCAATTATGAACAGTGGCAGAATGTAGTAGACAAAGGCCTTTGTCACCACCACATATCTGAAAAAGAGAGAGAGGGGATAGAGATTGGAGAAATTGGACATTTGGACACAACTAATTGCCACAATGGAAATAAATAAAGCAACAAAAACAACAATAATAACAAATAATATTTTTGAATGAATATATATATATATATATATATATATATATATATATATATATATATATATATATATATATATATATATATATATATATGTATATATATATATATATATTTGAATGGAGTAGAATAAGGTGGGTAACGTGTCAACAACGTAATTTGTAATATTTTCTTGTAATATTTCAATTTTCGAATGAGATTTCCTTTAAAAGTATTATACCTAGGTATATGATTTATTCTGAGATTTATAGTGAAATTTTGTGTAGAATATTTCTTCCAATGACACTTTCTGTCTAAAATGAAATTTTATGGTACTATTATGCATCAAATGGAAAAAGATCAAACAAAAATACACGAAAAAATAGGAAATATGTTCACTTTTTTTGGCAATATTGATGCAAAAATGTTCGTAGTATATAATGGAAATAGAGATTTCTTTTTGCTGGGGACTTATATTGAAATTCGATACAGAATAAGTTTGCCTTTGACAGTTTTCCCAAAAATTAGGTACTAAAGAAGATTTGGACTGAAACTAGAAACGCATAAAATTAACAGTCACAAGAATAATCACATAATGATGACTTTTAATTTATAAATTCGAATATAGTTTCCTTAAAAACTATTATAGCTAGAAATATAGTTTATTCTGAGACTTATAAGGAAATTTGGCGTAGAATATTTCTACCTTTGGGAGTTTTTGCTTAAAATGAAATTTTATGCTACTTTCATGGATCAGCTCGAAAAAAGACCGAAGAAAAATTTATCGAAAAAATTAGGAAATATTTTCGTTTTTTTTGGGAACATTTATTTAAATATTTTCTTTATATATCATATATATCATATAGTGCAATTTGATCTAGAGTATTTTTGCCTTTGAAAATTTCTAGCATAAATTAAGTATTAGGGAAAATTTGAATTCAGAATGGAAAGACATATAATTAGCAGCTAGAAACGTATTCATATAATGTTCACTTTTAATTTACACATTTTTGACTACAATTTTCTGTAAATCTGTTATAACTACAAATAAAGTTTATTCAGGGACTTACAGTGAAATTTAGTGAGGAATATATCTTCCTTTGGGAATTTTTGCCTAAAATGAAATTTTATGCTACTTACATGCATAAACTCGAAAGAAGACAGCGAAAAATTTTATTAAAAAATTAGGACATTTTTTTCTTTTTTTGCCTACATTGGTGCAAATATTTCCTTATGTATCATGGAAATAGAGATTTCTTTTCTTTGGTGACCTATAGTGAAATTTGATCTAGAATATTTTTTTCTTTGAAAGTTTTCCCATAAAATTAAGTATTAAGGACGATTTGGACTCAGAATGGAAAGGCATAAAATTAACAGTCATTAGAGTAATCACATAATGTTTACTTTTAATGTAAAAATTCGAATATAGTTTCCTTACAAACTATTATAGCTAGAAATATAGTTTATTCCGAGACTTAAAAGGAAATTTGGCGTAGAATATTTTTTCTTTTGGGAGTTTTTGCCTAAAATGAAATTTTATTCTACTTGCATGCATCAACTCGAAAAAAGGCCGAGGAAAAATTTATCGAAAAAATTTGGATTTTTTTCGTTTTTTTATGACAATGTTGATGAAAATATTTTCTTTATATATCATGGAAATAGAGATTTCTTTTCTTTGGTGACCAATAGCAGAATTTGATCCAGAATATTATTCTCTTTGACAGTTTGACAAATAAGTATTATGGAAGATTTGTACTCAAACTTGAAACGCATAAAATTAACAATCCTAAGAGTAATCACAAAATGTTTACTTTTAATTTATAAATTCGAATATAATTTCCTTAAAAACTAATATAGCTAGAACCATTGTTTATTCTGAGACTAATTTTGGAAGGAAATTTTGCGTAGAATATTTTTTCTTTTGGGAGTTTTTGCCTAAAACGACATTCTATGCTACTTTCATGCATCAACAACAAAGGCAAAGAAAAAATGCATTAAAAAAATTAGATATAGTTTCGCATTTTTGGCAACATTAATACAAATATTTTCTTTATATATCATGGAAATAGAGATTTCTTTTCTTTGGTGACCTATATTGATATTTGATCTAGAATATTTCTTACTTTGACACTTTCCTCAAAAATTAAGTATTAAGGAAGATTTCGACTCAGAATGGAAAGGTATACAATAAACGGCTAAAAACGTAATCACATAATAATATTTTTTACTATAAAATGTCGAATATCATTTTCTTAAAAACCGTTGTAGTTAGAGGCATTATTTATTTGGAGATTTATAGTGAAAATTTGTATAAAATATTTCTTCCTTTGGTACTTTTTGCCTAAAGTGAGCATTTATGTTACTTTCAAACATTGTCTCGAAAAAAGTCCAAGAAAAATATGATCCAAAAAAATGGAAAATATTTTGGCGTTTTTTTGATTGATCCAAATAATTTCTTTATATTTCATGAAAATAGAGATTTCATTTCTTTGGTGACTTATAGTAAAATTTGATATAGAATAACATTGCCTTTGACACTTTCCCGAAGAAATAAAGTATTATGGAAGATTTGGACTCAGATTGGAAACGCATACAATTCACAATCAGAAATGTAATCATATAATATTCACTTTTAATACACAAAATTCGACCGTAATTTTCTTAAAAACAGTTAAAGTTAGAAATAGGATTTGTTCTGAGATTTGTAGCAGAATTTTATGTAGAATATTTCTTCTTTTAACACTTTCTTTCTAAAATGAACTTTTATGTAATTTTTAGGCTTCAACTCGAAAAAAGGCCAAGGAAAAATTGACTCAAAAATTGGGAAATATGTTGGCGTTTTTTTTTTGGCAAAATTGATCCAAGTATTTTCTTTGTATATATTGAAAATAGAGATTTCCTTTTTTTGGAGACCTATAGTAAAATTTGAAATAGAATATTTTTGCTTTGAAAGTTTTTTCCAGAAATTAGGTATTAAAGGAGATTTGGACTTAGATCGACAACGCTTACAATTTAACAGTCAAAATTGTCATCACACAATTAGTATGTAGAAATCGAATCTAATTTTCTTAAAAACCCTTAAAGCTAGCAATATAGTTCATTCAGAGACTTATACTGAAATTGTGTGTAAAATATGTCTCCCTTTGCAACTTTTTGCCTAAAACGAACTTTTATTTTACTTTAATGCATCAAATCGAAAAAAGTCCCTGGAAAATTTGATCAAAAAAAATAGGAAATATTTTTGCGTTTTTTTGGCAACATTGATGCAAATATTTTCATGATATATAATGGAAATAGAGATTTCCTGTTTTTGGTGACTTATAGTGAAATTTGATCTAGAATATTTTTGTCTTTCACAGTATCCGCAAAAAGTGAAGTATTAAGGGAGATTATGTCTTAGAATGGAAACATGTTAAGTTTGCAGCAAAAAAAAAAAAAAAACGTCAACACATAATTTTCACTTGTAATACACAAATTTTGAATCTAATTTTCTTAGAAACCATCGAAGCTAGTAATATAGTTCATTCGGAGACTTATAGTGAAATTCTGTGTAGAATATTTCTCCCTTTTATACTTTCTGTCAAAAATGTAATTTTACGTTACTTTAATGCATCAACTCGAAAAAAGTCAGTGGAAAATTTGATAAAAAATTAGAAAATATTTTCCCGTTGTTTTGGCATTTTTGATGGAAACAATTTTCCTTTTCCAATGGAAATAGAGATTTCTTTTCTTTGGTGACCTATAGTGAAATTTGATCTAGAATATTTTTTCCTTTGACAGTTTTCCCCAAAAAATTAAGTATTAATAAAGATTTCGGCTCAGAATGGAAAGGCATACAATTAACAGCTAAAAACGTAATCACATAATAATATATTTTACTATAAAATTTCGAATGTCATTTTCTTAAAAACCGTTATAGTTAGAGGCATAATTTATTCTAAGATTTTTAGTGAAATTTCGTATAAAATATTTTTTCCTTTGATACTTTTTGCCTAAAGTGAGCATTTATGTTACTTTCAAACATTAATTGGAAAAAGTCCGAAAAAAATATGATCCAAAAAAAAAAGAGGGAAATATTTTGGCGTTTTTTTGGCAACAATGATCCAAATAATTTCTTTATATTTCATGAAAATAGAGATTTCATTTCTTTGGTGACTTATAGTAAAATTTGATCTAGAATAATTTTGCCTTTCACACTTTCCTCCAAAAATTAAGTATTAATGAAGATTTGGACTCAGATTGGAAACCCATGCAATTAACACTCAAAAATGTAATTATATAATTTTCACTTTTAATATATAAGATTGGATTATAATTATCCTAAAATCTATAATAGGTACAGATATAGTCTATTCTGAGAATTATAAGGAAATTCGGCGTAGAATATTTCTTCTTTTGACACTTTCTGCCTTAAACTAAATTTAATGATACTTTCATGCATCAACTCAAAAAAAAGGCCGAGATAAAATTATCAATTTTTTTAGATTTTTTGGCAACATTGATGTATATATCTTTTTGATTTCTGATGGAAGAATTTTCTTTGGTGGCTCATAGTAAAATTTTATATAGAACAATTTTAACTTTGACACTTTCCTCAAAAAATTAAGTATTAAGAAAGATTTGGACTTAGAATGGAAAGCCATATAATTAATGGCTCAACACGTAATCACATCTTAAAAACCGTTATTGCCAGTGACGGCTCATTATACTGTTTACAAGCATACGAAAGTATTTTGGTGGATATTTTCAGAAAAAAAGTTATTCCTGATGCAGCGTGATAGTGTGATTTCTTTATATTTGGCTGGAAAACCACAAGTGGCCATCGTTAGAGCACTCCAGCATTTAAATTTGAATAAATCTTTTGTGTTTGTGTCTCGTATCATCGCTCGTTACCGATTCGTGACACTGGTAGCATAGCCCGACGTCAAGGAAGTGGACGGAAGAAAACATCAACATCAGCAGAAGTGGTTCGAAAAGTAAAGACGAGACTTGATAAAAACCGCGTCGCAGTGGCCGAAAAATGGCTCGTGAGCTAAGCATATCGCAAAATTCCATTCGGCAAATATTGAAAAATGAGCTCGGGGTAAAGCCATTGAAATTGCAAAAAGTGCAAGAACTTACACCGCAACAGAAAGAAAATAGATTTAAAAGAGCTAAAGTGTTGCTTTGCTTGGCCGAAAGTGGTGAACTGCCGAATTTGGTTTTCTCCGATGAGAAAACATTCGTTGTCCAGCAGTTTGTAAACAAACAAAATGATCGTTAGCTGAAAGCCAAAGAGGTCAGCTAAAAATGTGCACTTTCGGTTGGCCACCAGAACTAAAGCGCCGGCCATGGTGTTGGTGCCGGTCGCCATAACAACCGATGGTCGCTCTTCGCTGGTATTAAACGACCGTGGCATCAGAAAAAATGCCAAATATTATCCCGAAAATATAGTGGAGGGTGTATTAAAGCCTTGCTCACGCAAAAATTTTGGCCGCAGACCACCTAAGAATGGTAGCAAAATGAGGTTCCTCGCTTCATTTCCAGTGCAAAATGGCCACCAAAATCTCCAGATACCAATCCGTTGGACCATTGTGTTAGGAGTATTTTGAAAGCAAGGTTGGCTCTAGAAAATACCAAAGTGTCAATCACCTCAAGCAAGCGCTTTGGCGGGAATGGTCCATAATACCGCAGAGCAACATTCGGGCAGCGTGTGACGGTTTCATTGGCCGTTTGAAGGCCATAATTCGTGCCAAAGATGACAAATTCGAACAAATCTAAACTTATTTTCGAATTTGATGCTATTTCCGACATTCTTTGCTTTCATTCACTTACATTTAAAAAAGAAATGTTAGGATTATGGCGTTTGACTTTGTTGTAGTTCTAGCTCTACTTTCAAAATCTGCTGATATTTTTTCTTTATTAGTGAAAAAATTGATTTTTATTCTCTCTGCTAAATCTACGATGATTTCTCTTTTAGTGATACAGATGGCGCCCAATGGTCCCTAAAAATATTTTTTTAAATTTTTTATAAAATCTCAAAAAATTTGGCCCTTTAGTTGGCTCTGATGGTCCTTTAAAATATCTCTTTACTTTTTTTATAAAATCTCTTAAATTTTTGGCCAAATTGACTCTTAAAATGGACCTATGAACCCCATATCTCGTCGTGCTTAAAGCTGTTAATACCCCCTCTCATATTCCAATTCATTCCTTGGCTATCACACCCAAACATACATGTGTATCATACCATACACAATGTATTTGGGGGACAATTTACAGTGTAAAACAAATTGCGTGCATTTTTTCTGGTGGCTGTTGTTGTTGTTGTGGTTTCTTTTTGATATTATTTGTCTACGAAATGCTGTTATATAACACACAGAGAGAAAAAAATACTATATTCTGCTGCTGCTGGTGCCGTAGTTAATAATAGAGCTCATAATTCTTGGTGTGTGTTCTGTTTTGATTTCACAAGATAAGGCACGCAATTTGGGTTGCTTGGCAGCAGAATATTCAAAAAATGAAGAATGAAAAAAAACGAAAATCCAAATAAATGAAATATTTTTAATTAAAAAACCACTTAACAATAAGTTTTGATTGCCAAAACGATTTTCAATATTTCGAGGGGAAGTTTTTTTATGGGTATTTAAATTTAAAAGAAAATATTATAAAATATTTATTTATGGTCGACCATTTAATATCGAATATTAATGGCTGCTCTGGAGGAAATTATGTTCACTCACCTTGTGTAGACTTCCAAGTTCTTGCGTTCCTCCCCAAACGGCGAACAGACAATTATTGTCAAATTTGTGCTGATGTCGATGTACTGCAGACTAGACATCACCAGCGAGGGGGTGGCAAAGATAATGGCCAAAAGCCAGATCATTGTGGCCGTAATGACTGTCAAGGGTTTTGTCTGCAATGAAAGAACGGGTGGAAGGAGAGGAGGAGGGTAGGGTAGGATGGATTAGAGTCAGTTATAATTGCAATTGCAACTGATGGTGATGATGAGGATGCCATTCTTTTCGATGGATGGCAACTTACCTGCAATTTACGCAATGGATTGACAATGGCACAATACCTCTCACCCGACAAGGCTGTCAGTGTGAACACGGACACACCAATCGATACATCCTTGAAAAATTCCGTTATCTGACACATACTCTTGCCAAATGTCCAACTGTCCTGGGTGTAAACGAGAATGGCCAGTGGAACACAAACGATTATAACTAAGAGATCGGCCAAGGCCAAAGAGAGAATGTAACTGAAAAAGGGGAAAAGGGGGAGGAAAATCACATTTTAAATTATTAAAGATCCATGGAAGTTATATCTATATATACAGAGTGAGACAAAAAAACTGCAACAAAGTCAAAAGCCATAATTTCAACATTTTTTTTTTAATTTTATTAATTGAAAACAAAAAATGTCGGAAATAGCATCAAATTTTAGCATAAGTTTACATCTGTTCGAATTGGTCACCTTTGGCACGAATTATGGCCTTCAAACGGCCAATGAAACCGTCACACGCTGCTCTGCGGTATTCTGGCCCATCCCCGACGAAGCGCTTGCTTGAGGTGGTTGATACTTTGGCCTTTAAACGGCCAATGAAATCGTCACACGCTGCCCGAACGTTGCTCTGCGGTATTTTGACCCATTCCCGGCAAAGCGCTTCCTTGAGGTGGTCGACTCTTTGGTATTTTTTAGTACCAACCTTGCTTTCCAAAATACTCCAGAGACAATAAGCCAACGGATTGGTATCCGGAGATTTTGGTGGTCATTGTGCGCTGGAAATGAAGCGAGGAACCTCATTTTGTAACCATTCTTGGATGGCGTGTGCTGAGTGCGATGGTGCTGAGCCCTGTTGGAATGTCCGAGGTCTGCGACCAAAATGTTTGCATGCCCAAGGCTTTAATACAGCCTCCAGAATATTTTCGCGATAATATTCGGCATTTATTCTGATGCCACGGTCGATTAATACGAGCGCAGAGCGACCATCGGCTTTTATGGCGGCCCACATCATCACCATGGCCGATACTTGAGTTGTGGTGTCCAACCGAAGGTGCACATTTTCAGCTGACCTCTTTGGCAAGTAAACACGAGCGGATCATTTTGTTTGTTTACATACTGTTGGACAACGAATGTTTTCTCATCGGAGAAAACCACATTCGGCCAAGCGAAGCAGCTCTTTAGCTCTTTTGAGTCTATTTTCTTGCTGTTGCGATGTAAGTTTTTGCACTTTTTTGGAATTTTAATAACTTTAGCCCCAGCTCATTTCTAGCCAAACATAAAGAAATTACACCATCACGCTTGAATTCCATCGCGAATAAATTTTTTTCTGGAAAATTCTCACCAAAATGCTTTTTTACGCTTGTAAACAATATAATTAGCTCTCACTGGAATAATTTTAACAGCTGTCGGACGAGTGACTTAGAAATGACAGCAGTCTGAATTTAGTTGCAGGTTTTCCATCTCACCCTGTATAAAATAAAAATTTAAGTACTTGAAACCAATTACATTCCATATTAAATGGTTTTCAAAAGAAACTCAATCGACTGCCTTAATTTGCATTCAATTTACTCTTACCTACTCTCTCTCTCACTCTCTCAGCCACTCAATTACTCTCCCACGTCATTGCCAATGCAAAATGCCAAGTAAATATTTTTTGCTTCCAAAATTCTATGCTAAATAAATATATTTACTTCATACTTCCTTTCGGCTTATTTTCGTACAAATAAAAGTAAACATTAGCTCAAAAGAAAGAGAGAAGGAAGAGGAAAACCAAGTGGGGGAAATTTTGTGCAATAAACAGGAAATTGATATTCAATCAGAAAATTTATTTCCACAAATACTTTTGACTTCTTTCCTGGTATTTTCTAAAATAAACACACACTCTCACATACATAACTTGTGTGGCACTTGAAAAATATTTTTATTGTAACCACATGAAAATAGCCCTTAGGGGAAATGCTGGAAATGCTTTATTTGCTGAGTAAAAATAAAATGTTTTTTTTTTTTTATTGAAAAGGAAAAGAAAAATTATATTTTCAATTGAATATCCTGGCGATGCATTGAAGGTCGTTTCAAACGATATTTGATTATTGCTGGAAAGTCAAGCTGCAAAAAAACGGAGAGAGAGAGAGAGGAGAGAGAAAAAAAACAAATGGCTGTATGACAATTTTTATAATTGATTATGGTGTTCCGTTTCCCTTGCAAGGGATAAAGGATGTCCATTATTACAATGACCATGCGAAGGGTTATTTTGTTTGGGATTGTAGGGCTTTTTCGATGGAAGAGAGGAAATTACATCTGAAAGAAATTTAATACTTTTCATAAATTGCCTGTCCCACGAAAATTAAGTTATCAATTTAGGACACTCAGAAACGTAGGAAAAAAGAGGATATATATTTCTCAAATGGAGAATATATTTTAATAGCCTTCACCATAAAATGGTTAGTTATTTTGTTAATAACACCTCAAAATATTCATCGTAGACTCCATGAGTTTTTAAATTTGCAGGCAATTGGCAAGAGTGCTTTATTTGTCGAAAAAATATATATTTTTTAACCAAAATTAAGGATATTTTTCTATGGTACGTATTAGGTATACAAATTTCTTTTGTTCAGAGACTCACTATGAAATTTGATGCAGAACCATTCTTCCTTTGACACTTTCCCCAAAAAATGAGGCAATGAGGGAGATTTTGTATTGGAATTGAGACGTGTCCAATTGGAAATGAGAAGACAACGGACACATAATTTTTACTTGTAATATGCTTAATTCAAAGGTCAGTTTCTTAAAAACTATTGGATCTGGAAATATTGTTCATTCCGAGACTTATAGTGAAATTTGGTGTAGAATATTTCTTCTTTTCACACTTTTGGTCTGAAATGAGTTTTTATGTCACTTTCTAGCATTTACTCGAAAAAAGGCCGAAGAAAAATTGATAAAAAAATTAGGAAAAGTTTAGGTTATTTGTTAATTTTGATACTAATATTTTCTTGATATATAATGAAAATTCAGATTTCTTTTCTTTGGTGACTTATAGCGAAATTAGATCTACAACAATTCTTCCTTTGACACTTTTTCCAAAAATTGGGGCAATAAGGGAGATTTTGTATTAAAACTGAGGCGTGTCAAATTGGAAGTGTAAAACCGTAAACACCAAATTTTCAATTGAAGTATACTAATTTCGAGTGTACTTTTCTTAGAAACCATTTGAGTTAGAAATATGTAGTATTCCGAGACATATAGTGAAATTTGGTGTAGAATATTTCATACTTTGGCACTTTTGCGCTGAGATGAGCTTTTATGTTACTTTCATGCATCTACTCGAAAAAAGGCCGAAGAAAAATTGGTAAAAAATTTAACACATGTTTCGCTTTTTTGGGAACATTGATGTGAATATTTTCTTGATATATAGTGAAAATTCAGATTTCTTTTCTTTGGTGACTTATAGCGAAATTAGATCTAGAACAATTCTTCCTTTGATACTTTCCCCAAAAATTGTGGCAATAATCGAGATTTTGTGTTAGAATTGAGACGTGTCAAATTGGAAGTGGAAAGACTATGGACTCATCATTTCCAATTGTAATATACTAAGTTCGAGTGTAAATTTCTTAGAAACCATTGGAGCTGGAAATATTGCGTATTCCGAGACTTATAGTAAAATGTTGTTTAGAATAATTTTTCTTTTGACACTTTTAATGTAAAATGAGGGTTTATGTCACTTTCTAGCATTTACTCCAAAAAAACCGAAGAAAAATTAACGAAAAATGACCAATTTTTTTTGGTTTTTTGGCAACATTGATGCTTATATTTTCTTGAAATAGGAAAGAAGGATACAGAAGAAAACATCAACATCAGCAGAAATGGTTTGAAAAGTTAAGAAGCGACTTGATCAACTTGAAACCCGTGTCGCAGTGACCGAAAAATGGCTCGACAAATATTGAAAAATGAAATTCCAAAAATTGCAAGAACTTACACCGCAACAGAAAAAAAAAATAGACTCAAAAGAGTCAAAGAGTTGCTTCGCTTGGCCGAAAGTGGTGAACTGACGAATTTTGTTTTTTCCGATGAGAAAACATTCGTTATCCAGCCGAACCATGTGAACAAACAAAATGATTGTGTTTTCTTGCCAAAGAGGTTAGCTGAAAATGTGCACCTTCGGTTGGCGGTTGGCTACCAGAACTCAAGCCCCGACTATGGTGATGGTGTGGGCCGCCATAAGAGCCGATGGTCGCTTTACGCTTGTATTAATCGGCCACGGCATCAGAATAAATGCCGAATATTATCGCGAAAATACAAACATTTTGCCCGCAGACGTTGGACATTACAACAGGACTCAGCACCATCGGATTCAGCATATGCCACCCAAGAACGGTTACAAAATGAGGTTCCTCGCTTCATTTCCAGCGCAAAATGGCCATCAAAATCTCCGGATACCAATCCTTTGGACTATTATGTCTGGAGTATTTTGGAAAGCAAGGTTGGCACTAAAAAATACCAAAATGTCGATCACCTCAAGCAAGCGCTTCGCCGGGAATGGCCCATAATACCGCAGAGCAACATTCGGTCAGAGTGTGACGGTTTCATTGGCCGTTTGAAGGCCATAATTCGTGCCAAAGGCCATAATTCTTGCCAATTCGAACAAATCTAAACTTGTTATGCTATTTCCGACATTTTCGGCTTTCATTCAAAAAAATGTCAAAATTATGGCGTTTGACTTTTTTGCCGATTTTTTATCTCACCATATATTTGTCTTTTATTTTTAGCTCTACTCTCATAATCGGTAATTATTTTTGTTTTTAATAATTTTCAAAATTTATATAATTTTTCCGGTAATTATTTTTATTTTTTTTTTATGTTGTCAAGGATAAGAGCAGAATGAGGGGTTTACTCTATTTTCGCCATTTTCTTACTGCTTTTTCCCATATATATATGGTTTATTTTTTAATCGAAGAACTAAATGTCTTTTTCCCTTGCAGCATAGCCTGGGCTGTCTCTATTTCGAAACCTTGTTGAGAAATTGTGAAGGAATAATAGAGGAATTTTAGAAACCATTATTTTTTAAATATTAATAAAAATAAAAAAATAAAGAGAAAATAGTCTTAGAATTCGATAGGTTTACGTAGTGGCTATATAGCCTTCAATAGCCTCAATTTTGATTTTAAAACTATAGGTATTTATGTCAAAAAATCCTTTCCTGCTCCGGAATCCATTTATTCTTCCAAAATTTAATTTTCAATATTTTTTTTTGTATTTTAAGAAGCTTTTGACATTCTTTCCCAATTTCTCAAAATTGCAGCTTGTCATTGCCTTGAATCTAATATCCTTTTTCCCCTCACCTCCTAACCAAAAAACTACATCAAAAATCGATATTTTTTTTCTTGTATTGAAAATAAAATTGATTCAGCCGCTGCTGCCTTTACTTACGTATTTGGAATGTTGCGCATCGAACGATGACGAAAGAATATTATCACTAATGTGCCATTTCCCAAAACACCAACAATGAAGATGAGCGTAAAAAGTATGGCAACGAATACCGTTTCGGGACGCTGGATGGAGGGCACAAAGCCATTGGCAGAGTCATTGGCAAAGCCATCATTGCCTAGCAGGGCGATGCGGGTAACATTGTCGGCCAGGGAGTTGGTGGAGGGGATGCCATTGCGATTTATGCCACTACTGCTACTGGAGGATGTTGTTGTTGTCGTTGTGGTGGTTGTCGAGACAGCTCCGAGAGCTATGGCCGCCGCCGCAGTGGGTGAAATAACATCAATTGCTGACAGCGATGGCGAAGACATCATATAGGCCGGTAACGGGTTGCCAATAAAAGTTAACGGAAACATGTTCTCGAAAGATGCTGATGACGACAAAGACGATAATGGTGTTGTGGTTGTTGTTGTTGTTTGTGGGTTTTCCTGCTTTTCCTTTTGTGTGTAGGGGCTAACACACATAAGCCATTTAACATTGGCGGCCACCACCTTCCGCAGGATGTAATAATTCTTTCTCCCCCCCAAAAAAAAAAAGGATGAGCCAATATTTTTCTTTTCCTGACGAATGTTTTGAATGATTATTGAGAGACTTATGCTTCACGAGGTGTAGAGGGGTGGGGGGTGTGGTTCTTTGACTTTGTTTTTGTTTTAATGTAGACCTGTTTTATAGCATCAATGAACGGCTTTTCTGGGCTTTTTCCAACATTATTTTCGTCTTAGTTTGGGGGCTGCCGTTGTCTGACTTTATTTGCCTCTTTAGACTGATTTATTTTCATATCTTGTTTTATTGGCAAACGTGTCTGTGTGCCTGTGTTTTTCTGTTATTGTTGTTTTTGTTTTAGTCCTGCCAGCAACAACATGTCCTTCTAATGTGTTGTGGTTTTATTCCATTGATGATGGGTTTTATGTCGACACCAGAAGCTGCCAACTTGGCCCAGCAGCAATCCTTTTGGTTGCTATTTCTGCAGCTAAGAAAACAAAAAATGGGGAAAAAAGAAAAATGGAAAAGAAAACGAACCGATGAGAAATGTTGGGATAATAATGTTCTTCTTCATCACATATAAATAATTTTAATTAATTTGATAACACAAGTCGAGAGACTCTCTCTTTCTCTCCATTTGGCTTATCAATCAAGAGAAAGGGAGAGAGGAAGATGAATGTGCAAAACTGCCTGCACTCATTGCCTGAGGATATGCAGTAGTTTTTGTTTTATTATTGCTATTTGTATATATATTTAGGGGTCATGTATCTTCAGTGTTATCTATGCCTAAGTGTTCCATATGCAATTTTTGAACTTTTTGAGATACATATGGTTTCTAAGGTTTTCCGGTATGCTCTTTCAGAATTTTTGGTCTATTTTGCGATATCTTCTCTAGTTTTCGAGATAAACATGTAAATTTTGTAAACTTAGAGGAATTTTCAGTAAAAATTGGAATAGTTTACTCAGTAACTAAATAAAAGTTGATTTAAAACATCTGAATATTATTTTTTGATTTAGAAATCAAGAATTTATAATCTCCAAATATAAAAAATTGTATAATTGTTGCATTCTATACATAATTACTCTGTTGCAGAACCTGCAAAAATCTATAAGTTTTTTTTTAATTTTTTCTATATCATAAAAAAAATTATTACAGTAAAATTTTTGCATTCATGCCGCTTGTGGAAAAGATATAAAATTTTTTATAATTGTGTGAAGATGGAATGAAAACAAAAAAAATCCTTTTTCACTTAAACTTTTTTATTGCAAAAGACACTCATCTGATTATTTCCAAATACAATTTCCAAATCTCTTATCACAAAAATTATCCAATCAAAAATCTTTACAAAATTTTCAATCAATTCCAGTCACTTCGAAATGCAATTTTGAGATGTGTTTTCTCAAAACAGGCAAATGGCGTAATGGAACACTTAGGTATGATATTGATGTTTTGTGGCCATATGTGTTTGCCTAATACTTTTCTCAGCTGGACCATAAAAGCCATAGAAATTTACAGTCGTTTAAAGCAAGTTTTTACAGCAAAAATTATAAGAACAGTGGATTGGATAAACATAACAAGTAAAAAAGCAGAAAGTTCGGCCGGGCCATTTGGAACTAATTTGGAAATTTCCAAAAAAGAAAAAAAATTAAAGATTCTGTTAAAATCTATAAAATATTGAATATAGGGTCTTTACGAAGACCTGGACCTGCATAGACAATTTTCCGTCACAGGCTGTAGTACCTACTAGGAACTTCAAATACGAAATTTTAAACAATTTCGGTGAATATTGCACATAAAATTGTCAAAATACGGAATATAGGGAGGTACTGATATATAGGGCCAATACGAAGATCTGAACCTGCATAGACAATTTTCTGTCATAGACTGTAGTTCCCATTACGAACTCTAAATACAAAATTTGAAACCACACCGGGGAATAATGTCGCTAAAATCATGAAAATACCAAATATTGGGAGGTACCGTTAAATGGAGGCTATACGAAGACGTGGGTCTGCATACGCAGTTTTTTGTCCTAGGCTGTAGTACCCATTACGAACTCTAAATACGAAATTTGAAACAACTTCGGTGAAAAATGTCCCCAAAATCGTCAAAATATCGAATATCGAGGGGGTACCGGTGTATGTGGGTGTCGTGGTCTATATAGAGATTTATCTTCCAGGGGGTAAAGTGCTTAGCAAGAATTTGTAGTATGAATTTTCAGATAATTTCATTTAAAATGTAGCTTAAACCATCAAAATACCGAATATAGGGAGGTACCGTTATATGGGGGCTATACGATATCGGGGACCTATACAATACTCCTCCAGGTGGTAAAGTAAAGTAGAAGGAACTCCTTTTTTGTGGATTTTCAGAATATTAAAAAAAATGGCTACTATCATCAAAATACCCAATATCGTGGGTTACCGTATATTGGGCCTATACGATATCGTGGATCGATATAGCCAATCATCGAAAAAAAAAAACTATTATTTCCATGAGTTACAAACGGAATGATGAACTTAATATACCCTCCATTCTATGTATATTGGGAGATGTAAAAATCACCCTACGAGCGTATGATTGACAACGACATGTATACGCACCAGAGGTCTAGAATTTTATGAGAGACAAAGAATTGAAATACAAAAGACTGTCGTATAAACAAACAATAAGAAGAATGCTGAATATAATAATCCAGCCATTATTATTTTTTACAAAGTCATATACTGGGTGGGTATTGAAGGCTAGAAGGCAGCGGTCCTTACTTAAAACATTACGCAACATAGAATATTTTTAACTCCAGGTTTGTAGGTAAAATTTTGCCACAAAGAAAAGTAATTTTTTGTCAATTTCTGGTAAATTTCATGTTTACTCTGCCTTGCTAAACTCACATATTTTTACGTCAAACTTCCTATACATATTCTAAAGAATATATGGACTAAAATGTAATCTCATTTTTAATTTACTTATCATAGCTGGACCACATAAGACAGAAATTTAAATTTAAAGTCGTTTAAAGCAGATTTTTACAATAAAAACTGCGTATGATTGACGACAACATGTATACGCATCAGAGGCCTAGATTTTTATGAGTCACAAAAAATAGAAATGCAAAAGACTATGATATGAACAAAAAATTCGAAAAGTAATAAATAGAATAGTCACTCCACTTTCATTTTTTCCAAATTTGTACAATGGGTATTGAGGGCCAGGAGGGAGGAGGTTCTTACTCAAAAATAATGCAACAAACAACTCTTTCAGAAATTTACACCTAAAATTTGCCACAAAAAAGTAAGTTTTGGGAATTTAACTTCGAGGAAAATTTCAGTTTTACCTCGACTCTGTCTCGCAAAACTTACATATTTTTACATCAAACTTCCTACCCATGGGCTAAAGAATATATAGACTAAAAATGCTCTCATCTTTTATTTACTTATCTCCGCTGGAACACAAAAGCCATAGAAATTTAAAGTCGTTTAAAGCAGATTTTTACAATAAAAATTATAGAAACATAGGAGTGGATAAACATAAAAATGGCCATGGGAGCGTATGATTGACAACAACATGTATACGCATCAGAGGCCTATATTCTTAAGAGTAGAAATACAAAAGACTATTGTATGAATAATAGAATAGGAAAAAGTGATGAATAGAATAATCAGGGCATTTTCCTATTTTCCAAAGTCGTACCCTGGAGTTTTTTTTCGGAAAGGATGGGGAGGGCTCGAGAAAATGGAATGATTGGAGAAATGAAATTTAAATTTTTCACTTCTGTTCTGTTTTTCAAAACTCACATATCGTTACATCAAAATTTTTAATTAAATTTAATTTTAAATAGGAGCTGAGGACAGTATGACCTATGACTAACGAACTAACGAATGTAAAATAATAAAAAGTTATCTCATATCATCTTTCACCAGATGACGTTCGTAATTTGAGTAGCTCTTGCTCAAGAGACTCAATTCTTTCGAACACACACAAAATTTAGGTATTCCCTGCCTTATTCTCTAATAAACATTACCATCGTTCTGCACTAATAAACAAACGTTGTTTTTATAAAAAAACAATAAAGGGATTAAGCCTGACCATTTTGCAACAACAAAATTTAATTGTTTGTTTTCTCTTTCGAGACGAGCTTAATGATCTGAAATTTGCAGTGAAAAGTAAAGCCAGATAGACACTATCACACACTCACCACTATGTGACGCGTTTCGCCGTTGGTTAAGCGGCTCATCAGGCATATTTGATGTGGATGATGGCTTACAAGGGCCGTTCTCTGGAAAGTAGTATATATTTCGAACTTATTGCAAATTAGCATTTGCGAATTATAAACTAGAAAAGATCTGCCAATAGAACTTGAGTCGAACCTGGAGAGTTTCTAGTGTATAATTCGCAAATGCTAATTTGCAATAAGTTCGAAATATATACTACTTTCCAGAGAACGGCCCTTGTAAGCCATCATCCACATCAAATATGCCTGATGAGCCGCTTAACCAACGGCGAAACGCGTCGCATAGTGGTGAGTGTGTGATAGTGTCTATCTGGCTTTCCTTTTCACTGCAAATTTCAGATCATTAAGCTCGTCTCGAAAGAGAAAACAAACACTTAAATCATAAAACATATGATCTTCGCCTTAACAAGGCAAAACTCAACAAAATTTAATATTTTTTAAAGAATTTTTTTTATTTAAAGAAGGCGTAAGGAGGGAAAATACACCAAGACGAATGCCAAAAAAAAAAAAAAAGAAAAGAAAAACAAAAAATTAACTTTTTCCTCGAAATTTATTAACTTTACTGACGTTGACTGCATTTTTTAGGCCGACATCTCTCGGACTATAATTTTGCTGAGTCTATAGTGTAGCTCCAATAATTTTAAAACGGATATTTTCGAAACCCAAAATTTGAAAACTGCAATACCCCTTTCAAAAATTGTTTAAGCTACACCCCTGCTTTAACATTAACTCTTTCCTGCTCATTGTTGTTATTCATGTAGCCAATATTATTTCATTCCTTTTCACAGACAAGTCTGTCTTGTCTTGCATAAGATAGATATATGACACAAAGGATATAAAAGTAGAACAGCAACAAAAAAAGGCTTTAGCTTTAAGTTATCTCCATGGCAACATAGAAACCATAGAAAGTTAACAGCCATCAACTATTTTTTAACTGAAAACAGTGCATTTTATTATTTCTTTAAGTGGGGAGAAAAATATTTTTTCTTTTCTTTTACAGTTTTTTCTTGGAAATGCAAAATAATTAAGTGGTTGATGTGGTTAAGAGAAATAAATGTTTGAATTAAGAAAAAATATTCTTCAATAAATACGAAAAACAAAAAATTTAATAAAGAAATCTTAAAAATAGCCTTGGAGGCGTATGATTATTGTAGACACGTATACGACTAACGGTACATAGAAATCTATAATTGCGACCTGTAGAGCAACTGAAAAATCAAGAAATTTTTCAGTGTTTGGTCCATTT